CGTCTCTACTGTCTGTCGTCTCCTCTCATCTTCTTTCTCCCCTCCCTCCCTCCGCCGCTGCTTATCTCTCCCTTCCGTTCTCTTCTCTCCGCCTCTCTCTCTCTCTCTCCTCTCCTCTCTCTCTCTCTCTTCTCCCTCTCTCTCTCTCCTCTCTCTCTCTCTCTCTCTTCTCTGTTTCTCTACTCTCTCTATCACCTCCACACTTGCGTATCTTCTCTTCTTACTCCCTCTCTTCTCTCTATCTCTCTCCCTCCCCTCTATCTCTCCTCTCTCTCCTCTCGTCTCCCTCACTCCCTCTCTATTATATCTCTCTCTCTATCTCACCCCACCCTGTATATAACATCTCTCTCTCTCCTGCTACAGAGCGAAAACCGCTCAACTTTAACGGCACCAGCTACGTGCGATACACACTAGTCAACCTCATCGATCGCCAGCTCAGCCTCTCTCTCAGCATCCGCACGGCAGCCGAGCGCGGCGTGCTCATGTACGCGCGACCGGACAGCGCGTCGACTACAGCATCCTCGAGGTGAGGGCCGTGCAGCGCCACCTAGCGGGAGCGCCTGTTGCCGCCGGCGCAGACGGAGGATGGGGTTATTGCGCGCGAAGGTTTTGTTAATCGGCGTATGCGTTTTATCGTCGAGGCGAGGGTTTGGTTGTTATTAAATTATTGTTGCCGTTATAATTGTTGTATTCGTTAATAACAGTTTTTGATTAACCAATCAAATGCATTGATTTGAAGCACGTGATCAATATTAGCGCGCCCGTGGGTGTGGCTTTGAACAGGTTCCACGTACAGTTTATTACCAGTGGCTATCACAGTATGTCGCTGATAGACGGTTGAATTGTCGCCGGGTGGCCGCACACGTGGCGGATTTTTATCGACAGTACCGGCGATAAAAATCGGACCCTCGGTCACTCGTCCGATAAAAATCGCCACGTGTGCCGCCGGGGCTTAAGGTCTTTCGTTATCCGCGCTGTACCTTGCCGCCGGCATTCGCCGGATTGCCCCCAACTGTTCTCCTGCTTCAGTGGAGCCTCCTAACCTTGTCTGCATCGTCCCTGCAGGTGGTGAACGGCCTCGTTCAGTACCGCTTCGACTGCGGCAGCGGCGAGGGTCTAGTGCGCGTCAACCACGTCTACGTGAACGACGGACGCTGGCACGAGCTCTCCGTGAAGCGCAACCAGAAGGAAGCCGAGGTGAACGTCGACGGGAAGTTCTCGGCGTTCGGCGCGGTTCCCGGAACGAACGACGTTCTCAACCTGAACAGCCACGACGTGTACTTTGGCGCGGCGGTGAAGGAGGAACGCCGCGGCGGCGGCGGCGGAGGAGGAGGCGGGGGAGGGGCGATGTCGAACGGGTTTAAAGGATGCATGGACAACATACATGTGGATGGGATGAACTTGCCGCGAGCGGGAGCCAACAGCGTGGCCGAGCTGAGGAGGTGAGTGTTTGGGTGTAGCAGGGGTGTGGGTGTAGGAGGTAGGTGTTAGTGTGTGGGAGGTGAGTGTTAGTGTACTGTGGTGTGGGTGTAGGAGGTAGGTGTTAGTGTACTGTGGTGTGGGTGTAGGAGGTAGGTGTTAGTTTGTGGTTGTAGAGTTAGTGTAGTGTTAGTGTAGGAGGTGAGTGTTAGTGTGTGTGTGTGGGTGGGGGCTGTGTGTTGTGGGTGTAGTGTGGGTTATGTGCAGTTTGGTGTATGGGTGTAGTGTTGTGTAGCGTAGGAACAGTGTTATAGTATGGTTGTAGTAAACAAATTTTAAAGTTCAAGTTTAATTGGCGGTGCATGGCGAGGTAAGCACGTAGAATGCAAAAAAAGTGATAAATTGGAAACCAGCGACGCGTCATTAATCATCGCCGTGGCGACCGCGTCTTCCTTGCAGGTTGGTGAACATCTCGTTCGAGTGCCAGCGCAACCTGGTGCCGGGTTACTGCGGGGCGCAGCGATGCATGAACGGCGGTAGCTGCCTGGAGATGAGCCACGGACTGTTCATGTGCGAGTGCGTGACGCCGCGCTATAGAGGGCGCTACTGCGAGCGCGACACGGACCCGTGCGCGTCGTCGCCCTGCCTGCACGGCGGCAGCTGCCACAACGCAGGTACGCTGCTCACTTGTTACCGCTGTAGGTGTGTGTGCGTGTGTCTGTATGTATGTATGTATGTATGTATGTATGTATGTATGTGTGTATGTGTGTATGTATG